GAACCCAGGGCCTCATACATGCAAGACAAGCACTCTACCACTGAGCCACCTTCCCAGCCCCATAGATGATTTTTCTAATGTTAAGTCAATCTTGCACTTGTGGAATAGTTACAAGTTATCCATTGTCATGTAATGCCGCATTCAGTTTGCTAATATTTTATTTAGAATTTTGGCTTTTGTGTTTATGCGTAATTTTATTTTCTTATACTGTCTTTGACTAGTTTTTCATCAAGGTACATATTGTGTACATGTATCAATGCACCCTGTATCTCTCCACTTATGTTAACAATGTTTGAGGAAATGGAACCAAATGTTATGATTTTGTCAACTTTTAAAATTCTACTAGGTCAATATAAATTTATAATTATACTTCCTGAAAAATTGAAACTTGCCAATTTAACAAATGTATGTCATTGAATTAATATGGATTTTATCTGTAAAAATGTTATCTGCTATTTAGTAACATTCTCAACTTTTTGTTACTGTTTGGATCAGAGAAGCAGAAGTATGCGTGATATAGCATAAGGAATTTATTATGGGGATTAGACTTTACATAATTATGGGAACTGGCTAAGACCTCTATAAGGTCAAGAAGCAGGCAAGAGCAAGAACAAATTAAAGCCCATGGAGACAACAAGAACGTGTGCATGTGCATTCTGGTTTCCAACCTAGATGATAGGGACAGTGATACTGGTGTCCTTTTGTGACAAAGCTGCACACACACTTGGTCCAGGGCCCAAAATGTCAAAGGAGGAGGGAGGTCCAGTGGGAACTGAGGTTGTAGGAGATGCTGCCCTATACCAGTGACCACTGTGAACAAGCCAACAGCAACTTTCCTCTTTTTTCCCTCCCTCCCTCTTTTTTTTTTTTCCTTCTCATTCTCTCTTTCCTTTTCCAGATTGCCTTCAAACTCAGGACCCTTCTTCCTTAGCCTCCCATGTTCTGGACTTTCAGGCGTGTAATACTATGCCTACCTGGCCATACACCAACTTTCAAAAGATAAAAATGGAAGTAGCTGCCTTTTTATTTATGTCTTTTGGATCTCATGTAAATTTCTCTTGTAGCCATTCCAGAGCTACTTAGGGAAGCAAAGTCTGGGATTTGTAGTTGCTGCTAGTTAGTAGTACAAACCTATCTTTTACCCTCTTTAGAATAATGTGAGGTTCTTGGAACATATTAACTTTGTCCTTTACTAACTTATATAATAATATCACTTAATATTTTAATTCTTTCTTTAAATATACCACTATATTTTCCCAAAGGTATTTGCTTAAATTTTCCTGTTTATCTGTTATTTATTATCTCATATCTTTCCTTCTGTGATAATTTTCCTTCCCTCAACATTTCTCTTATTATACATTATGGATCTGATGATAGCAAACATTTTGGTTTTATTCTGTGCTGTAGCCTAAATCCAGGTCCTTATGATCACTAGGCAAATCCTTGAATCAGTGGCCTATACCTCAACTGTAAGATCATAGTTTTGCTTACCTGAAAATATCTTTTCCTTTCTGTTGGGGTGTGTGTGTGTGTATATCTTGAGACAAGGTCTTGTTATAGAGCCTAAGCTAGAGTCATACTCATTCTGTAGCTAAGGTTGGCTTCAAACTCACAATCTACCTCCCTCAGCCTCCCTAGTGATGAGATTATAAGCATAAAGTACCATGTCCAACTCTTTTCCCCTTCATTTCCCTCCTTTCCTATGTTTTTGACAGTGTTGGGGGTTTGATTTTGTAAATCCTTCCTTCCTTCCTTCCTTCCTTCCTTCCTTCCTTCCTTCCTTCCTTCCTTCCTTCCTTCCTTCCTTCCTTCCTTCCTTCCCTCTCTTCTTTGTGCTGGTACTGGGGCTTGAAATCAGCTGTCCTTCAGCTTATTGAACTTAGGGTGCTGTCCCTTAGATTTTTCATACAATGCTGGTTTTCTACCACTTAAGCTACAGCTTCACTTCCTGCTTTTTTGTTGTTAATTGGAGATGAGTCTCATAAGGGCTAGGAAGGTAGCTCAGAGGTAGAGTGCTTGACTTGTATGCATGAAGTTCTGGGTTTGATTCCTCAGCACCATATAAGCAGAAAAAGCTGGAAGTGGCGCTGTGGCTAAAGTGGTAGAGCGTTAGCCTTGACTCAGAATTCAGGCTCCACAGTAAAAAAAAAAAGTCTCATAAATTTTCCTGCCTGGGCTGGCTTTAAACCATAATCCTCAGATAATAGCAGATTTTAGCCTCCTGAGTAGCTAGGATTACAGATGAGCCCACCAGTGCCTGGCTGTTTTCATATATTTTATTATGAACTCATGTTTGATTGGTCTTACTCTAAAAGATAACTAAAAACCTACATTGAGGATATTTTCTACCATAGTTGAATTTCTTTTTTTGGCCAGCCATGGGGCTTGAACTCTGGGCCTGGGTGCTGTCCTTCAGCTCTTCAGTTCAAGGTGAGAGCTCTACCATTTAAGCCACAGCGCCATTTCCAGTATTTTCTACCATAGAAGATCCACATTGTGTGTGTGTGTGTGTGTGTGTGTGTGTGTGTGTGTGTGTGTGTGTGTGTGTGTGTGTGTGTGTGTGTGTGTTGGCAGGGAGCCAGAGACATTGAAACACTTGTTTCAGTTTGGCATTCAGAGAATTAGTCCCTTTACCTTTTTAGTAAATTAGGTTTATACTCCTTGTAGTGTTTGTATTGGAATTTATTCTGAGTAATAATTTTTTTTTTTTTTTTGTCGGTCGTGGGGCTTGAACTCTGGGCCTGGGCGCTGTCCCTCAGCTCTTCAGCTCAAGGCGAGCGCTCTACCACTTGAGCTACAGCGCCACTTCCGGTTTTCTGGTGGTTTATTGGAGATAGGAGTCTCACGGTCTTTCCTGCCCGGGCTGGCTTTGAACCGCGATCCTCAGATCTCAGCCTCCTGAGTAGCTAGGATTACAGGCGTGAGCCACCAGCGCCCGGCTTTGGAATTTATTCTGAGGGCAATCTTGGCTTCTTAAATAACTGATCATTCACATTCATGGAAGTCCAAAACAAAATAAACGTCAATTTTTTTTGCAATACTTAATTGTATGGGCTTTTTTTTTTTTTTGGTGTGCCAGTCCTGGAGCTTGAACTCAGGCCTGGGTATTGTCTCTGAGCCATAGCTCCAAGCTTGGGCTTGGGCACTATCCCTGAGCTCTTTTGTTCAAGGCTAGCACTCTACCACTTGGAGCCATAGCACCACCTCAAATTTTCTGGTGGTTAACTAGAGATAAGAGTCTTAAGGACATTCCTGCCCCAGCTGCTTCAAATGGTGATCTTCACATCTCAGCCTCCTGAGTTGCTAGGATTACAGGAGTGAGCCACTGGTACCCAGCATTCAGTAGTGCAGGTTGATTTCTGACTTGTGATCCTCCTGGGTATGGTATGCCACTATACCCAGCTAGACCTCTTTTTTTTTTTTTGGGTCCGGTCGTGGGGCCTGAACTCTGGGCCTGGGCGCTGTCCCTCAGTTCTTCAGCTCAAGGCTAGCGCTCTACCACTTGAGCCACAGCACCACTTCTGGCTTTTTTCTTTTTGCTTATGTGGTGCTGAGGAATCGAACTCAGGGCCTTGAGCATACAAGGCAAGCGCTCTACCACTGAGCCACCTTCCCAGCCCCTGGAATTTTTCTTTTAACTGTTCAATCACACTGCTTGTTAAGAAGCAGAAGGGTCAGAGTCCATCATACTGTTACCACAAGAAAAGCTCTAGGCTTTCCTTCTTCTTCTTCTTCTTTTTTTGGTCATGAGGTTTGAACTCTGGGCTTGGGCGCTGTCCCTGTGCTCTTCAGCTCAAGGCGAGAGCTCTACCACTTGATCCACCATGCCACTTCCGGTTTTCTAGTGGTTTATTGGAGATAAGAGTCTCATGGACTTTCCTGCCCTGGCTGGGTTTGAAACATGATCCTCAGATTTCAGCCTCCTGAGTAGCTAGGATTACAGCATGAGCCACCAGTGCCCGGCTCCTACATTCTTATTTTCACTGCTATCTGACTTTTGCTCCTCTCCATACATTGTCTGGCCAGATTAGCAGCTGTGTGGGTAGTATCTGACAGTGACCTTTATCTAGTTTTGTTGTTTTCATTGGTTTGTCCTTGGCTTTTCCTCTTCGACTTGTGGCCATAATTCTGTTCCTTATATGGTTCTTTATCAGTGTTTGAATATTGATATTCTCCAAAGTTCTGTCCTTGGCCATTTTCTTACTTTTCTTTGGCAAGCCATCCATGACCCCTAAGATTCAGTTATTACTGTTTTGGGAGAGGGAGGGAGTACTAGGGCTTGAACTTGGCTATGCGTTCCTCAAAACTTGGGTGGCCTTTCTTTTTTGTATTGTGGGTGCGCCTACACATGCAGGTGCCTATTCAACAAAATTTTATGGGACAGTACACAAAGACAAACTCTTGTAGGCAGAATATCACAAGTGGATTCTAAGATCCCACATCCCTTTGGTGAAAGCTGAAGACCATTTAACTGTCTTCAAAGACAGACAGAGGAATGATACACATGTGTAAAGTCATGCCTACAGGATATTTTCTGGCTTATTCTACTGGCAGCCTCAGGGCTTTTACATTTTCTGATGAGTCTGTCTGGAACTTTTAATTTTTTCACTCTGCACAAGAATGACTAGTTATTTCTCATCTTTCCAGGCTTAGCACAATGTCACTTTGAGAGAAAGAGGGCTCCCTAACCTATGGAAGCTCTTCTTTTCTAGCTCCATTGCCCTGTTTATTTCTTTAGTAACAATTGGACAATTTTCAAAAATCTTGTTTATTTCTTGCTTATTATGTCTCTTTCCACTTCCCATCCTGTTGTGGTTCCAGGAGGGCAAGATCCTCCACTAGTTTACATAACCTTTGTAAATTCTGTGCCTAAGCAAATGAATAAAACTGACCCAGATCCAAAGCTATAAATAATTACACAAATTGATAACCACATCCCATTCAAACACACACAGTCATGTAGTTTGTCCTGCCCACCCCCACCCCCACCCACCACTTACCGGAGTCACAAACTTGTTGGCCTCCCAGGCCCAGAGAGGTGGGTCCTTGTAGACCTCCTTGATGGAGGTTGGAGCCCTGAAGGAGTCACTGTAGGTGCTGATGGGAGTCTTGGTCTTACGAGAGAAGAGGAACATGGTAGGGTCTTGGGGATGCTGTGGTGGGCTCTATGTATCAAGGGCTCCTGCTGGACATCAGTGACCACCTCTCTCCGTAGTCAGCCCACTCCCACAGCCTGGAAGGTGCCCCAGTTGCTGTGACCCCCTCTTGTGGAGGACTTTTCAGTTGCCCTCCTCTACAGCTTTCTTGCTCCCACCCACTAAGCTTTCTTCTATAGGGTGAAATTGCCCATTATGATATCACTTGGCTTAGCCAAGTGTTTAATTTCCTGCCTACTCCCGGCCCTTTCCTATCTCAAGTCCCTCTAAAGAGCTCAGTCTTCAAGCAGTCTAAGGGCCCCTTAAGACCTTCTCAGCCAAATTTCTCATTTTGTTGGAGAGAAACAGAAGTTCTGAGGGGTTGTGGCTCACTTACGGCCACACAGCAGGTTAGTGGCATCCCAGAAGCCTACAAATGAAGGTAGAGTGACATGTTCACCTGGAAGATCAATTCTCTCCCCTTCTCAGCCCATTTTCCCCTGTCCCACATCCCAGGTAGGGAGCTGAGTGAGGCTGGCTTGTTTGATGCCTTTAATATCATTATTTGTGTTACACAATACACAACCAAGGATGATGGTCAATACTGCAATGGAAATGTTAAAAAAAATATTATACACGGCTCATGTCTTCCACACACCTTCCTGGAAATAAATTAGCACGGAGAAACCTGGCTGGGTGGCAGCCACAGCCGAGGGCTGGGAGGGGGGGTGTTAAGGCAGTATCTACAAGAGGACAGGGGAGCAGGGGGCAAGCTAAGGCCGTGGTTCTTCCCCTCCAACACCCAAACAGGGAAGGAGAGAACCACACACTCTCCCTAGATGCAGGAGCTGCTGGCTGCCAGCTTCCTACCTTTCCCCTCCATATCTACCTAACTATATATAGATTGCCTCAGCCAGAAGTCCTTGCCTGCCAAGGAACTAGTTTGTTCTGTAGGCAGGGAGCTTTTTCCTGGTTCCTTAGGACCATAGAAATTGAACAATGGGTTAGGTCATACAGTAAGTCAGCAGCAAAGGCAGGAGTCTAAAAGAGAGGAAGTACTCATGTTCTAGAAGGGTGAGTCAAGGAGTCCAGGGTGGTGATGGTGGTGGTACTGAGAGTCTTGGATGGGGTAGGAGAGATGGGCTCAGATAGGGGCCAGCTTGGACCTTGGGGGCCCTGCAGATACCTTCTCTGCCTAATTCCCTTTGGTATTTTTTCATCTTCTAGCTAAAGGAGGTAAGGGTGGTTGGAGGTGTTGGGGAGTTTGCAGCTCCTGAGTGTGGTACAGGGAGAGGTGCTACCCTTCCTCCTCTCACCACCTCCATTCGCCACCTCCCACCTCCCAGGACTGGCATCCAGACAGCAGCATGTGAGTGGCATCCATGACAGTGGATGCACCATCACGTGTGGGGAGTCAGCATGGAGAACTGGGGCAGTGTTCACCTTGGGCCTGTGGAAGGAGGTTTAAGGGGCATAGTCCTGAGCCATCTGAAACTACCTGCTTTTACTTTTCTTCACCTGGACGGCAGTTCTATATTTCTCAGCCCACGGGAGGGTTCTCTTCACTGCCTCCCTCTCTTGATTTGCATCTTTAGCTTTGCTAAGAAGCATCAGAGCAGAAGCAGCAGCAGTAGGTATATTTCAATCCACAGACCCTCCTAGAGGCACATACACAACAAACACCTGTGCACACACCTGTGCACACATGCATGTGCCCACACACACACACACACCTTTTCCAAACAGATCCTTATGTACTTGTGGACTCCCCCTTCCCACATAGAAACAGACCTCTCCATAGAAAATCTTGTAAAGAAATTCCTTTCAGGTCTTCAAGGACCTTAAGAGAATAATTTCAGCTATTGTTTATTTTACAATTGAGAGGTAAAGCCCAGAGAAAGTTCATGGCTTGCTGAAGATCACAGGAGAGTGCCAGAGCTAGAGCCCAGACCTTTGCACTGCTGAGCAGCTTCTCACACTGCAAACAGACCAGAGCTACTTTCTCACTACGGATACCATATATGCATCAGGAAAAGATACCTGAAGAGACAGGTCCAACACAGAGATGTAGACACTTGAACATACATCCTGACAGCCTCTGTGCCTCTTTCCCTCCTCTCCACACACACACATACACACACACACACACACACACACACACACACACACACACACATTGCCCAGCACTTCATGCAGTCACTCCATCCACTATGTTTTTCTAAACTTGCTCCTTGAAGAGTCTTTCCAGGAACTAGCCTCCCAGACTGGGGTGAGCTGGAAATGGGGTCTTGAAGGCCAGACTTAACACTCTGCTTCTAGCTTGAACCAGTGAACAGAAACATCCAGACAGAGAGATAGATGCATTGGTTATAGGCCAGTAAGAACAGGCTATAACATTTCCAATTCTGGCCTTTCTCTCAGGCCCGCCTTACCCATCTCCATACCCAGAGAGCAAGGAAGAGGATGAATGTGACAAAGAGGAAGAAGGCTGCAATCTGATGGGTGGGGAACAATATTCCCTTAGGCAGCTTTGCCAGGCTGCAGAGGAGGGAGAAAACACTGGGGACATGGGCTTGTAGGGGGGTAGGTGTGGAGGGGCTGTGAGGTGTGTGGAGGGGCTAGGACCTGCCCCCATTGACTTGGGCCTTTCTCCACTCAAATCCCTTTCCTGGTTAGGTTGTGGCCGGGGGATTCATGGCTTCAATGGGGGTGGGGTCAACCCTCTGGCCCTGTGATCCCCCTCACCTCCATTGTTACTGTTGGCCTCCCTGTGTCTAGTCCTTGGCCTGGACTTCAACTTTGCAGAGGTGGGCTGGGTGCTGGGTGAGGTCCCACAAATAACTGAACAAACAACCCCCCACCCCTCCTTGGCCTCCAGGGTGGAAAGAGACTCCGTTTTGGTTTCTCCTGCTCCATGAACACACAGAGGTACACGTCCTACCATAGGAGGAAGCAATGACTGTTACAAGGTTGGTGGCTGCATGGGGTGCAGGCTGGGGGCAGGTGGATGAGGTGAGGAAGGCACCTCATCCAACCTGGCCCGAGTTGGCCCTGCTCCATGCAGCCGTGGCGGCCCCACCTGCTACTGAATGTGGCAGGCAGTAGAGGAGGTGGCCTGGCAGCACATGCAGGTGGGGTTCACGGACTTGGGGGGGATGAGGTCTAGGTCCTCGTCATCAGGGATCTCATCTAACCGGTAGCCATCCTTCAGCAGTTGGATGTTCAAATCTTGGTTGATCTGCTGTAGACAAAGGAAAGAGAGGTCAGGCTCAAGTTGACTGAAAGTCCCCAGTCCTGGCTGGGGTCCCAACTTCATCACCTGTCAGACCCATCTCATCCTCCATCTCTCTGCAGCCCAGGTCATCCATTCATCTAGACTCCACCCTCAAGTGAGGTTTGAGTCTCACTTTCAGAGCCTCATTTCCACCAGGTCTTGAGGTCTTACTGTGACAGACATCTAGTCCTGTTTCTATTTGGGTTTTGCCCAGTTTCAGAGGTACTGTTGCCTGCATTTCACACCTCATTCTATTTAAGAGCCCTGTTCCAATAACCCATGGTTTCTGGCAATGGAGGGTAGTGATTTCTTCCAGAAGCTCTCCAACCCTATACTCTGCTACCCTACATAGGCTCCGACTGGCTTTTCCTCCACTACCCTTGACCATCTTAGTTCCTTGATGGAGGTGGATCTGCTTTGTGGGGTTGAAAGGGGAAGGGCCTCACCTCAGCAGAGGAGTAGCCAGAAGAAGAGTATCTGGACATATCAAAGTCATCATCACTGGCCATAAAGAAAAGAGGACAGAGAAAAAGTGAGTTGGAGGGTATTGATCTTTCCACATCAGACAATACCATACCTCTCCCCTAAACAGACAAGAACTATACTATAACCTTTGCTTGCTGTGCAAATAAAGATTTTTTCAAAGACAGATTCCTTAGCTTCATTCTTCCGAAAGAATCCTTAAATTCCTTCCAAATAGAGCTGCTACTCCCTTCACTTCCCTCTTTCTTTTTTCACGGCTTCCCTTGAAATCACACTGGCTTGCAGGGTTTTCTCAAAGTTTAAGTCTGCCAACTATTTCCCCATGGGTAGGGTTCTTCCCTTAGAGAAAGAGGAACATTAAGCATTGCATCAGGCTGTCCAGAGACATCCACCAAGGCACAATTGAATAAGTTGTCCCAGGTTAGCAGCAGACTGTATTGGTACCTTTCTTTTCTCATCCACTCCCCCTTCCTGGACGAAGAAAATCTATTCCTTGGGTAATTCATCCTTAGTTCCTAGCTAAGAAATATCTTACTCTGGCAATAGAACAGGTATATCCTGAACAGCCCTTTTGTGCTCAGACAGATTCAATTGGCTTGCCCAGTTGCCCTCAGATCCTGTACGTACCTGTCTGTATCAAGAGCTACCAGTGGCTTCTCATCTGGACTCTGGTCAAGTGAAGAGTAGCCTTTATTGGGGACGACCAGCCTGGGTAAAGAATTTTTGGAGTTAGAATGCTAATTGGAGCTTATTAATCTGGCAGGGGACTGGATTGGGCCCTGACCCACCACTTTCTTTCCTCTTTCCCTCCCTCTCCATCTTGGATCTCAATTGAGAAGAGAGGGTAGAGGGGGAGGCTCAGACCAGCAGAGACTGGCTCTGGCTGGCAGGATCCAGGTGGAGTAGTGAGGGCCTCTACCTCGTCCGGGCCATGACGTTGTTCTTCTTGGGTTGCTGGTTGACAGGGCTGCCCATGCTGCCATTCTTCAGGGAGCCCTTCCGGGCCAGGTCCCGCTGCTTCTCTGCAGGGGAACATGGGAAGGAAGCTGTGTCCTGCCCCAGGCCACCCTGTCTTACTGCTTGGGGAAGCCTGGGCTGGGTCTTCATTGTGGAACCTCTTGCTGCTCTATGGACAGAGGTAGATATTCTGATTCCAGGCCCCTGATGCTCAGTAGAGATGACACTTGGCTGCACATGACATGAAGTAGAAGTTGGGGGCAAAAAGGAAGAGATTGACACTTGCCTTGTAGGAGTCATAACACCTAGGTAAGGCATTGCATGCTGAATGTCAAGGAAAGGCTTCAGAGGAAGTGTTGGAGCAGTCAGGGAGGGTTTCTTGAAAGTGACACTATAACCTAGCAAGGAGGACATTCTAAATAGGAATGACAGTATGTACAGAAATGCATTTTGGTGGTGGTACTGGGGTTGGCAGGTGCTCTACCACTTGAGCCATGTCCCCAGCCCCTTTTGCTTTATTTTTCAAGAAGGGTCTTGAGTTTTTGCCCAGGTCAGCCTGGACCATGATCTTCCTACCTATGCTTCCTTGAATAGGTGGGATTACAGTTACAAACCACTATCCTTGGCTCAAAAATGAACTTCAAAGTAATCATAAATGTGAAACCAAATGGATGAAGAAGTGATGAGGGAAAAGGTGAGGATGGAAAAGAAGACATTATTCAGTCACTTATTCACTAAATGAATATGTGTCAAGTATTGTGCTAAGAGGCTGGAGATTACTTCTGGTTACAACTTTATAGTATGAAGGCCTTGAATATTAGACTGTGGTGTTTGAGATTAGTGAGAAGGCAAAAAAGGAGTCACAACACTGTGAAGCAGGAAGACAGGGAAGGAGGCTGGGGAAAACCATAGGTTGTACGGCCTAAGCAATGTTCTTAACTCTTGCCAACCTCTGTGCTCTACCAGACTCATGGGGCTGGCCATGAGGCTGGTCACTTAGGTGACCAGTTTGGTATATAACAACTATTATAACCAGTTGCTTTCTGGATCCAAGAGGTGGCCTATCTCCTCTTTCCTAAACAGTGAAGCCCAGATCTAGGAAAAGGGCCTATTGTGTGAAAGAATAAGGATGGACACAAGGATGAGAAAGACTTTTACAGACACTGTGATTCATTTCAAAATGTCCCCTGACCTCTATGTCTCATATTCTCTCATCTGTTCTGGCCATCTTTGTTCATTTGACTGCTTCAGCTTTGTCCAGTCTTTCCAAAAGGCGACAGGTGCCATTACCACTCCAAGCCTCTAGGGGGTGCAATCTGCTTTAAAGTTTCTGGTGGTCCAGTTTTCTGTAGGGCAACTGGAACAAGAATCTTCATGAGTGTCGGTAGTAATGCAAGTGATTGTGGGGGGGGGATGAGGGGATGTTATTTGAAAAGCATGTTAAAATTGTTTGAAATACTGAAAAATGCAAACACTAAGCTACTAGAAACTAAATTACATGTTACTATGCATTTAAAAGAATGAAGTAATTATATACTGACAATGGAAGAAGCCCAAGACATAATGTATGTGTGTGGAAAAGGGAGAAAGTTTCATAAAATGCATATAATATGATGCCCCTTGTGTTAAAATAGAAAATAAAACTACCTAAATTACAAAATCTTGAAATGATCTTTTTTGGAGAAGAGAATATACTGTGGAATAGATAACATATTAGTTGAAATACTTGTCACACAATAATACACAAACAAAATTGGCTGCTATTTGAATCTGATGTCTTAGGAAAAATGAATAATATCCACGAGAGAACTGCTCTTCTGTTCAGAAAATGACTCTAGGGGTTCCCTCAATGTGGTACCAAAGAAGGAAAGTAAAGAAAAAGAAAGTTGACTAAAAGAACAGTCCTCGGTGGAAAGGAGTCTTGACAGCTACACAGGAAGAAGGGCTTGGAAAAGATAGGTAGGGGCTTTTAGCACAGAGGAAGAGCCTGGTTTTTGTCAGACAGCTGAGGTAAGAAGAAAAAGATGGCCAGGATGGTAAAGAAGTTTTGAAAGACAGTGATGATCAGTATTTGATTGTCAGTGCTTCCCTGTGTACCATGATATAATGTCTCCTCATGAAATCAAATATTTGCTGAATGTCTGTTATCTACAGAAGCCTTGGTTCAGTGAAACTGTGGTCCCTGAAGGGAGAGGAGCAGTGATCAGTAGAGGGAAATGTAAGAAATATAGCTGTAGAAGCTTTGGGCAGCTGTGGGAGACAGGTGACTTCAAAGGAAGAAGATGTACAGTAAACGGGGATCTAGTGGGCATAAAATAAGTCTGCAAGGAAAAGCTGATGAGGTATCTTGGAAGACAGGAAGATACTAGATTTACTGAGAAAATAAGGGACAGTTTCTCCAAATAGTAACAGGATCTGGTTAGACTGGGGAAGGGACTCACCTTCTAGACTTTGGAACTCTCATTACTTTCTATCCTTCAGACACAGCAACTGATCTCATCTTTCTCTCGCAGACTGATCCAGGGACTGATCAGGAAGTCTCAGATGGGACTTCTAAGTTCTTCCCCTGAGGTTCCATGCTTTTTACCTCTTCAGCTATCCCCTAGAATACCTGAAGCCTTTTAACCTCAGTGGTATCTCCCAAACTTTCATGATTCTGAAGACAGCTGTAACTGCCTTCTTTGCCTTGCAGGAGATATGGTACATGACATGTCAATGACATGAGCCTTGGAATCATCTTTACTGAGCATTAAAATATTTGTGGCGCCTCTCTGTAGACCCAGCCCAGAGCACACTGTCCATTCCCCCACCTCTCCATCACCCCCCGGACACACTCACCCAGCTTCACTTGGAGCGGGGATGGTTTGTAATTCATGGCTACTGACTCACCCTCCCGGGCGTCACAGTCTCCGTCTGAGATGGAGGCGGCGGCTGGATCCTATGGGAGAGAAAGCAGAGAGAGAGAGGGAGTTGTTAGTACAGTGAGCACAGGGGCTAAAGCAAGCCTTTCCAACTGTCTTCTGGGTTTCTGGAAGCATTTGTTCCTGGCAGCAATCAGGCATTCAGAGAAGGAAGGCTTATCCACCATGGGACAAAAATGGTGACCTAGGTAGAATAGTCAAGAATTTTGGTCTCATCTACACCCAACTGGATATGTTTTTAAAGTTCTGTGTGATCCAAGCTCCTTCAGCAACACAATTTCCTTAAACCCACAGGACATCCTCTCTAAACACTCATACTAGTTGCCCTGCTTCTCAGGTTTTTAAAAAAAATGTACACTTATTAGGAAAAGTCTTTCCAGAATCTATGAGTACAATTTGGGCTAAGATCAGAGTATACTTCCTGGGACAAGCCTTCTCCCTCCATTTCACATAGTGCTAGGGTAAGTCTCTTTGCAAGATCCAGAGACTGAATTGTTCAAGACAGGCCAGACGTCAAGGCTTCAGCCACTGGATTAAAAAAAAAAAAGTCATAGCTGGGTGCCAGTGGCTCACGCCTGCAATCCTAGTTACTCAGGAGGATGAGATTTGAGGATTGTGCCCAGTTTGGGCAGAAAAGTATGTGAGAATCTTATCTCTGATTAACCACTAAAATGCTAGAAGTAGAGCTGTGGCTCAAGTAGTACAGTACTAGCCTTGAGCAAAAAAGCTCAGAGACAGACCAAGGCCTTGAGTTCAAGCCCTAGGACTGGCGCGTGCGCGCATGCGCGCGCGCACACACACACACACACACACACACACACACACACACACACACACACACACACACACACACACACACACACACACACACACACACACAGAGTTCTAAATGAGGACTTCTCCAGTTTCCAGATAAGTTCCAAGAACCTGAGACGTTGACTGAATGTGGTAAGTGAGAAATAAATAATGACAATGAGTAGATGGCTGGTGGGTTTTATGACATCTAGAGTATAGAACATTTGCTGCTACAGATGACAGGAAGGAAAGGAAGCATACATTCCATGGGTTGTCCAGGATGTGCAATCTTTTCACTCTCACTTGCCATCTCCCCACTAGTACCTTGACCTCCTGAACTGTCCAGAGTCCTCTCTAGCCTTGCCATTCCTCCAAAATACTCTTCTTTGTTCAATAGCCAGGACCCTGGCCCATCCTTCTTCAGGTGGAAGGAGCTTTAGTCATCTTAAGTCTCCCTAAGAAGTTGGTTACCAATCCTCAATACTGACACTACCATCCTAGATGTTTTAACATTTTAACTACAGAGGAACTAGAGTCCTAAGCTTACGAAGATTACAAAGAGGATCTAAGTCTTCTGCCTCTTCTGCCTTTGTGGGTGTATAAAGTAGACAGACAGGCAAGTAGAATGCCCCAGGGCTATCCTCACTGTGTCAGGTCTAGGGATCTGTGACCTAGCAAGTTGAGGATATATGACCATAATGGTTGGTGGCTTTGCTCCTTTTCAAATGAGGCTTGTCACTAAAGGAAAGGAGAAATTCCAGTATGTTTGGGGGAAGGAAGGAATCCTGGCCTTGTCTGTGTTTCTCTGGGATAACTAGCATATCCCTGGGTGGGCTATGCTGCTGCTGCTACAGTGGTTTGCAAGCTCTCAAGGGCAGAACCTGGGTCTCCATTTCTGTTCTGTTACCCACTTCTTGAGGCGGGGGTGGGGGAGACACGAAAGGACAGGAAGATTTGTTAAGGAAGGCAGGATGCTGTAGTACCTGCATCTCAGGTAACTTCTTCCTCTTCTTTTTTTGGGCGGGGGGGGGGGGCAGTCATAGGGCTTGAATTCTGGGGCTGCGCACTGTCCCTGAACAATTCAGTTCAAGGCTAGCACTCTACCACTTGAGCCACAGCACCACTTCCAGCTTTTTCTGCTGATGTGGTGCTGAGGAATGGAAGCCAGGGCCTCATGCATGTTAGGCAAGCGCTCTACCACTGAGCCACCTTCCCAGACCCCTCAGGTAACTTCTTAGGCCTTCCCAATCCATCATTTTGGGCTTAGATTCCTTGAGAAACTTCTTTTTTAAATTTTTAAAAAATTTATTTTAGTTTTTTTTGGGGGGAGGGGATGTAGTTGTGGAGATGGGAGGGAAGGGATGGTAGGGGAAAAACAAAGGAGGAGGCAACAATGCTTGATAAGAAATGTACTCATTACATTGCTCATTTGATTGTAACCTCTCTGTACAGTACTTTCACAATAAAAAACTTATTAAAATTAATTTTAGGGTTTTTTTGTTAGCCATGGGGCTTGAACTCTGGGCCCGAACAATGTCTCTCAGCTCTTCAGCTCAAGGCTAGCACTGCGCCACTTCTGGTTTTCTGAGTGGTTAATTGGAGATAAAAGTCTCATGGACTTTCCTGCCTGGGCTGGCTTTGAACTATCCTCAGATCTCAGCTTCCTGAGTAGCTATGATTACTGGCATGAGCCACTGGCACTCGGCCTTATTTTAGTTTTTTGTGTGTGTTTGTTTGTTTATGTGGTATCAAGGAATCGAACCCAGGGCCTCATGCTTGCTAGGAGAGCACTCTACCACTAAGCCACATTCCTAGCCCTTGAGAAACTTCTTATAGACAGTATCTGTCCTCCACAGTGTGGGAGAAGCAGAAAGTCAGAGGTCCTTGCATACCTCTCTGTGGCCAAATGGCCTCTTAGTTATCCATAGTAGACAGATGGGCTCCAGACATTCATTTTAGGCCAGAGCAGAGTGAATCCCATGTGTGCTATGAGATCCTTCTAAGGGAATTCTGGTACACTTTCTTTTTTTCTTTCTTCTTCTTCTTCTTTTTTTTTTTTCCCGGTCATGGGGCTTGAACTCTGGGCCTAGGAGCTGTCCCTTCAGCTCAAGGCTAGTGCTCTACCATTTGAGCCATGATGCACTGCCAGTTTTTTTTCTGTTTATGTGGTACTGAGAAATTGAACTCAGGGCCTCATGCATGTGAGGCAAGCACTCTACCACTAACCCACCTTCCCAGCCCTCTAGTACACTTTTAACTCCTTCATATTCCTTTACTTTTCCTATAGTATCTGTCACATGTCATAACATACCACATCACCTTGGAAATGGCTTCCTCTCTTGGTTTCAGGATACTATGCTCCCTTGGCGTATCCCTTCTTCTCTGACCATTATTTCTGCGTTCTTCCATGCCCTTTGTCAGCAGGGTCTTACTCTTAGACCTCCCCTCTCTCTTCTTGAGGAAGCTTGATCTCTCCTATAGTTTGGGTTGACTCCTTTTGTGTGCTTGTCTTGGGCCTTGAACTCTGGGCCTGGGTGCTCTCACTGAACTTTGTACTTAAGGCCAGCACTACCACTTGCACCAAGGCTCCACTTCCAGCTTTTATTGTGGTTAATTGGATAAGAATCTCACAGAATTTCCTGCCCAGACTTCTTTTGAACCATACTACTCAGATCTTTGCCTCCTGAGTAGCTAGGATTACAGGAATGAGCCACCAGCTCCGAACCTGAGGCTAATTTTTAAAACCAACACCTTTAGGTATTTGGGGATGATTTTTTCTTCTGAGTGCAGGTGAGTTTTGGTAGTATTGGAGGAAGAATACACAAAAACTGAGCCTAGGGTATGAACTGGGAAGCTATAGACAAATACTGGTCACAGTGACCCACATGTGGCCTCAAAGGCCCACTGGGAAGTTCCTGGTAATATCTGATCCTAAGTGAAAGTGCCAAGCTTCTTGGGGTCATGAGCCAGGTTACAAAGCCCTAGGATGAGAGTGCCCTGCAGAGCCCATCATTCAGAATCTTTTCTACCATGGCCAATGGTAGAAAGCACAAAGATCCCTGGCCCTATGCCCACAAACTCAACCCTTTGTAGTGGGCCTCCTATGTGTTCTCTGAGAAATACAGCCAATGTACTACGACTATTATATGGAACTAAAGTCAGGGAGATTAAATGCGAAATATTCATGAATAAAGTATCAGAGAGGACTCCAAGCAGAGAGAAGTGTCTGGCTCCCAGAAATCAGGGAGAATTTAAAATGCCTCTTGAGGATATCCAACAGGCGTTAGCTAGATCTGGGAACTAGAGTGGGGATTAACAAGATTGTTAATAAACACTCAGCAGAGACAGATATTGAAATGCATCTCTAATAGCAACCCATGTTTCTACAGCCATTCAGAGAAATTCTCCAAAGACTGCAGAGATGATTAATAGCCTAGGTTGACTATTTCTGGGGCAGGCTATATAGGCTAATGGCCAGTAAAAGCCAATATAGCTATAGGAAAGCAAAAGTGCCAGAAGAATCCTTCAAATTAGTCTGGCCTACTGATTTTCATTAAACTGTATTCTTTGAATCCTATGCTTTGGGTTGGGCTGAGTGTGAGGAGGAAATCCACCTTTATTTCACTTATATATCAGCCTTTCTGCAAGATTTTGGTTAGAGAAAAGGTTTTATTGCTTAAAAAAAGGTTGAAATCTATTGATTTAATCCATCCTGGTTTTTAAAAATGTTTTATTATGGAAAGTAGAGAAAACAATACAGTATAATTTGGAGTACCTATAATCAGCTTGTATCAATCCATTCTTTTTTATTATAAAGACATACAGAGAGGTTATAGTTATATAAGTTAGGTAAAGAGTGCATTTATTTTTGAACAATTCAGCCCATTCATTTTTAAAATAGGAAAGCTGAGCCTAGAAGAATAGCCCAAGGTGATTGATGGAGTTAATGACCTTTTAAAGTATGCAAGTAGGGCTATAAGCAAAGGAGGCATAATGGGGTCTTGGAGCTAGAGACAGATCCTCTGGGAGGCTTCCCTGTTGTTGCAGGCCAAAGCATCAGCCTGCAGGTTAATCTCCATTTTTGCCTTCCTATTCTAAATCTGTACTCAGTCAGGAATTGTTACTAGCTAGCTGGTTTTGTTTGTTGTAACTGGAGTGATGCAGTAGATACAAAAGTAGTCTGGGATCTAAGACACCTACAGATAGGCAGGATAGATCCGGA